GAAAAAAAAAAAAAAAAAAACAAAAAACAAGCGTTTCTTTTAAAAGAATCTTAAATAATTCTAAAATTCTTGCATAAACTGATATATGTGAGGAAGTTTAGGAAAAGGATAAATTTTAGCCTGACGCTTTAGTGCCGGCAGTGTGTCGCCTCGCTCGCGGGGTTTGCCGGTGAGGGGGGGACTGGTAGCACCGGGGGGGCTGCCCAAGGCCCCTCACGTCCCCTCCCACATCCCCTCGGGTGGCCCTGGACCAGGGCAGAGCGAGGTGCGGGTGCCCCCGACTCCCGCAGCGCTGCGGGAAGGGGGGCACACACCCTCACCCCTGCCACCGTGCTACAGCTTGCAACACAGAGTTCCTTAAAACAAGAAAACGTTTAAAAAGAAAAAAAAAAATCACTAAAAAACAGGAATTAAAAATTCTCCACTCAGCCTTAATATTGAGAGTAGATAAATGAGTGTTGACATCAAAAGAAGGAATTTACTTTCAATTTGTCCGACCTTAGGCACCACCGTTGCACACGCAAGGCTGCTGCAAACACACTGAGGTTGGGCTGGGTCTGGTTTTTGCTCCTGTTTTATGTTTCTCTGCCGAGCGTTCAGGGCAAGGGAGGAAATTTATTCTGCCATTGGAAAAGTCTGTACCGTAACTGAAAACAGCCAAGATCAAGGCAACGGCACAAGGGTCTCGGAATAATTTGGAAGGCATTCTCAGTCAATCCCTCTCCAAAAAATTTCGTAGCAGCAAGGGCAGGGGAGGTTTTTACCAGGGCGCTTCCAGCACTGAGCACATACCTACGTGTTCCGATCACTTTCTGCCCACTTTATGCCTAATTCATGAAGAGCTCGAAGGTTCTTCTATATTAGAAAATTCCCGTGTTAAAAAATGTAGACATCGGCGTATTCGCCACCTCCCGTAAAGTTAGTTTCCAGTCATTCATATTTTAGGGCATATTAAGCTTTCCTGTGGCTTGGTAGGATGTAAATCTGTGTTATAGGACAAGCTGGGGGCCGGTTCCAGCTCTGGCTGCTCCGTCCCCGACTCCGACAGGGCTGCAGCGAGGCCGCCAGGGCTCTGCACCAGAGGGCTCCCGCGCAGGGGTCGGGGGGTGCTGAATGGTGCTCAGCCCCTCCGCGTCACCTGCGTGCCGATGGCCGCACAGCTCCTGGCTGCCAGGGTTATCCCTCAGGGTTTAATTTCTGCCAGCAGCCATCCCAGTGACTGGAGAGACCCAGGAGGGACCTTCTCCTTTGTTCTCGCTCCGCACGTACCCGGGCAGAGCAGAGGGCTCGGTTCTCCCACGCGACGAACCTTGAACCCACCCGCGGACAGCACTGAAAAATAGCACAGCTGAAAGTGGTTTTACGTGCAGTCCCTTTCGTTGCCTCAGCCCTCGGGGCCGCTGGGCAGCAGGTAAACCTTAGCCCCATTAGCAGAATAAATTACATTTGTGCAGCGAGCTAGAATTTAAAGCTGGGGGAGGAGGAGGAGATGGTACAGTGCGGCTCCGGCCACTACAGCCACAGGAATTTCCCCTCTGATCTGCCAAATGTGAAAGTACTCATTATTCCTCCACTACCCTTCTTTTTTTTTATGCTGCCAGATTTAAAAAAAAATAAAATAAAATATAAAATGCCTGTAATGAAGATATATATTATATTTGGTATCTAGAGGGCGAAATCTGTTCTCTCCTAATGCACATCCATCCTCCTCTTTATTATTTTTCAGCCAAAACAAAAAAAAAAAAAACCAACCACAATTCGCACATTACCCGATGCGATTTATGTGCAATAACATCAGCTTTTCCACTTATCAAAACCATTACAGTCATAAGCACACAACTCCCATTAACCTCAGCGGCAGCGACTTAAATGTGAACCACAAGTGAGAATAAACCTTAAAGATGTGAATCGAACAGCAACTGCCTTGTTTTCTGGTAGGTGTCCAACGGTGCGATGGCAGGGCCATTTCTTCCCTCCCCCCGCCTTTTTTTTTTTTTTTTTTTTTTTTTTTTTTTTTTTTTTTTTTTTTTTAACATGAAAAGAGACTTTCCTCTTCTACAGGGCGGTTACTTTAGGCTGGGAGGTGCAGCTGTTTAGATGGGCTAAACATTTTTGACGCGTCCCTTCAGGTAGAGATGCTCCGTGGGGGCGGGCGAGGCGAAGCGTCCCGGGGAGCCGCAGCGAGCTGGGCAGGCTGCTCCCACTTCATGCTAATGAGACAGTTTCTTGCAGGAATTTCGGCTCTGTAGAAGCTGCAGGAGGTAGCATGGTTCATTAGGCTATGAAAGCTTTAAAATGTTAAGAGGAACTGGTTTTCCTCTCTCATTTAAGTGAATTGCTAAAAGCACTGGCTTGTTCTTCCGCGGAACTTCGGATTCGCTATTTTCTTCATTAACCTTGACCTTTTTACATTTATTACGATAAGAAAAAAAAAAAAAAAGTTGACTTTGGAGCAAGCTACAGCCAATTCGTCCCCCCTAAGCTCTTAAAATTAGAGAGTTTGGGCCAGGGGAGCGATGGATCCCGTTTGCCACTATTTTCTGCATAAGGAGGATTTAATGTTTGACAAAAATTAGGGATCCTAAATCCCTATGGATCGTTTCTAAATTACTTTTAGCAAGACAGGTGCATGTAGCCTTCCTACCTGTGTGTTTATTAGTAGCAGAAAGACAAACAGAGTGTTGGGAGGGGACCCCTTCCCGTGAGCTGCTCCCCAGAGCCTTGGGCGTCGATCGAGCCTCTTTGCCGGGACCAGGTGATGGTTCCCGTGTTGTTCTCAGTGAGCTGGAAAACAAGCTAGTGAGGCATCCATGTGGAGTTAGAGGAAATTCAGAGCGGAATTAAACGGCGTGCTTGACACGGGCTTTGGAAGTTTAGTTCTGGGTTATTTTGAAACCTCTGCAGACGCAGTCTCGTGCTTTAGCCGTCGGTGAGCAACGAGGCTGTTTCAGGAAAGCGGTAATTCCATCCACCCTCCCCCAGGTATCCCTGGAAAAGCAAACAAGTAGCATCCTGCTCTGCTACTTGTGCGTTTTCTAGTCTCATCAGGGCTTTTTTTTTTTTTCTCGTTTTAATTTAATCGCAAGGCTGCCAAACCGTGCTCTTACAGCCCGCAGCAGCTGTGCTAAGAGAGAGGAGATGCTCGGCACTGGGTCCCGGCTGTGCTGTTAGCACGGGGCTGTCACGGGGCTGCTCTGCCCAGGCAGCGGCACACGCCTGGCACCGTCCCCTCCCTGGGGAAGGGGCTGCAGCACAACGGGGGCTGCCACACGGCTGGCCCATCTCTTGGTGCCCATCTTCTGGTCGCCATCTCCTCGTCCCCTTCTCTTTGTCCCCATCTCCTGCTCCCCACCTCCTGATCCCCTTCTCTCCCCAGACACGGGGAAGGGGAAGGCAGGGCAGCAGGAGGAGGAGGCTGCAGCTCTCAGCCTGAGCTCCTAACCCATCAGACAGGCCTTTAAAAAAAGGGTCAAATGAAGGGTCAGCTAAGAAGACAAAGGCAGGGCGTTATGCCTTGCACACTGAGATCTGAGCAACCATCTTCTCTAGCAGGGCTTTGATTTCAGCTTAAAGAAACCTGAAAGCTCCGTGATGTTTTTCCAACTCGGCAAAACCTTTCTCCCCAAGTCTGACACGTACGCGCTGCCGTCCTTAAGCATGGGGCAAGGAGTCTTTCCACCCAGGCGTAGCTTTATATAGACTCAGCAGAGCAGAAATGTCTGAGTGTCGCTTTGCCTCCCCTGCTGATGAGACACGTAGTGGAAACGATACCTGAGTTTTTCCAGTACATTCATTTTTGTCATGGGAGTTCCAATAAGTGTCTTGGACTTTGTTTTAGTGCCTTAAGCACCTTTTTGCAAAAGGCCACAATGTAAGAGAGTACATTTGAAAAATTAATTTCCCAAAGTTAATCACCCTTAGTAACTTGGCTGCCCAGAAGAGTCGCTCCCGTGTTGGATGTACCACCGGTTCCTCGGGAAGCGAGACGGCGGCAGTGCCAGTCAAGAGGCACTGATGAGTGCTTCTGGCATGGTATTTCTCTCCAGAAGATTATAGATAAGGCACTTAGTTCTTCTGAAAAAAATTCAGCTAAGGGCTTTGACCTTATATTTGAACACAGAATTAGCACTCTGGTAAAGGTTAATGAACAGAAGAAGGGAGTAGATAATTTTTGACCGAAATATTGCCAAAATGGGTTTAAACACATGCAGGTCTCCGGGCAAGTCTGCTGCTGCAGAAGGACCTGCTCCCCTTGGCCCCAGTGCTGCGGCCACCAGGAAAGCCCCCTCAGAACTGGAGAAGAGGAGGAGGAGTGGGAAGGGGAGGGTCTGCCGGTGCTTGGCATGTAAAGCCATGCTGGTGATGAGGCATTAGGCTTGACTGGCTCCAAGGCTTAGAGGTTGAAACCAGTTCTCCCGCAACAGGGCTTGGTCTGCCTTCCGGCTCTGGGATGGAAAGGGGTTTTACTGCAGGTCTTGCATGTGGCTGGCTCGGCCTAAGGACAGCGCAGGGTCTTCCTCTGAGTGTTTAAAATACGTTCATTTTCCTAACGGGCTGTGATCTTGAAATATGATTATTTTTTTTCTTTGCTTCCTCATCAAGTTGATGCTTGTGAGAAGTAATTATTTTACCATATGGTGGAATGTGCAATGATTACTGTTAGGCTCTTCATCTCAGACTGGCCCCTTTAGCATGGATCTCCTTCATGAGCCAGAGCTGACACCCAGGGATTTGGACAACTCAGGCAAGAAACAAACCGACCTTCCCCGCCCAGCCCCAACACTTCCTCAATTTCTAATTCCTCTCCCACCCCAAAATCACAACACCGTTGCTGTAAATGGCAAATAATAATGGTAAATACTGGGATGGAGTCTTACAATTAATTGCAAGAATTAGGTCTACTGTAATTCAGTCATGA